TTTTTTATTTCTATCTAAACTATATTTAATTATTTTGAATATATATATTTTTTATTCTTATATATAAGTTTAGTTTATTTTCAGTTGATTTAAATATTATTGCATTATCTCCACAATAACTGAAAACTATGTTGAATTTATTAATGAAATAAAAAATAACTTTTATATTTATATAATGGATCAATCTTTGTTACTATGATTGACATAATTTCAGGCAGAAAAATATTTTCATTTGTATTTAGCGTATAATTAACCTTTATTTATGAGTAAATGTTATATGTGAACATTAATTTCAATAAGACATTGGTTGATTACATATATTTTCAATAAAGGTCGCAATATTAGAAAATAAGATCATAATATTAACTTCTTAGTATTTTTTTGACATAATTAAAAAATTATGCATTACAATTATGAAAATGATTCGATAAATTATATTATCATCTCATGATTATATATATTAGTTTTATTAATTATGTTCACCGATCAGAAGCACTTAAAATATATAAAAAAAATTACCAAAAAAATTATATTTGAAAACTATTCAAATAAACTTTACATTGAAAACTAGTCAAATAAACTTATAAATAATAAAATTATATAATAAATAGTCAATACTTATTAAAAAAAACTATTCAAATAAACTTTACATTGTTACTAACTTGTTGTACTGTATCAAATAGAATTAGCGTATTATCTTAAATAATTTAATAATATTTGAATAATTAAATATTGGTTTGTAGCATATCTAATGAATAAAAAACAATAAAAAATTCCAACCACAATTTAAGATAATATATGAAAATGGTGAAATATTTCTTCTTGTAAAAAAAAAAGAAATATAAAAAGAAACTAAAATAATGAGAGTATGAAATAATTTATTAAAATCCAAAAGTTAAGATCTCACAAAATCAATTTATTTTGTATTCCCAAAATAAAAATAAAATTTAATTAAATGTAATAATCAGTATTTACTATTATACAATACAAGCATTACAAATTCAATATATAATATTTTGACAACCTAATTTAAATAAATAGATAAAAAAAAATATTAGTCAATATTATTTAATATTTATTTTGGGGTGCGAGAATTTTTTACATATACCCAACATTTTTTTTATGCAAAAATTGTATGTAAGTTAATTTATATGCGAAAAATGTAAGGTGTATCAAAAGAAGTTGACGAAGTGGTAAACAGCTTGATGTCATTTAAGCAATGTTCGGATTCATGCAGAAAACTCTTGTTGGAAGACTCACTCACCATTGTCAGGTGGTTAACCCAAGTCGACGAACGAATTAGTCGAAACAATGATCCAAATACCTACCTAAATAAATGAAACGTGTGGTGGAGGCCCTTTTTCTCCTCAACTCATACTTTAAAAATCGAAAATCAACAATCTTACCGAAAGAAACTGCAGCTCGCTTCAATCTTCAAGCTCAAGTGCTCAACCAGGCGACTCTGTTATCAATTCTAGGCAAATCACACT